GATGATTGTCCCCTTTGGGGATATTTCAGCCACATAGATATGGCCTCAGCAGATTGACCTGGATGCTTCACTCCACTAGAAAAGACAAGCTGGCTTACTCTGGGGTTAAGGCAACTGCAATAATGATCTGAGCTGCTGTCGTCCGGCAGGGTTAGTCTGATCCCACGCCAGAGGAGTATCAGGGGTGAGTGGTCTCTCTGGACTGGCACCATAGCACATTCCAGGCCTTTGATAACAACTGTTGCCACAGTAGCTCTGGGTGCCTCTCAATCTCCATAGCCCCGTAAAAAATGGAAAGTAAATGAACTGAAATTGTATTTTCAAAAGTCAACATTATTTTTCCCTATTTCCTCTTAACTTCTAAAAAAAAAAAAAAGTATTGAATAAGTAACATTAGCCACTAAAAAGCAAACATTTTCCAGATTCCCGTCTGCAAACCGCTCCGCTTCTACTTGACCACAGTTTGTTTATGCAGGTGCTGTTTGTGGTGCATGTGTGTGCATGGCCTCATTTTTAGAACATAAAAAGCTTTTCAGAGATGCTTTTAGCCCAGGCAGCTGGGCAGTTAGGATTTCCTGGTAGCGTGGCAGCCAGGAAATTCTGACTGTTCTGCCACCAAGTGACAGAATAAAGCTCAATCAGGCCAATTGTCTCCTGCCGTACCTTGGCTCTCCCGAGAAGCATCACTGGCTTCAGCAACAGCAAATCCCAGGAGCCAGGAGCTGAGGCCTGGAGAAGCTGGGGGGGGGGGGGGGACCACTTTTGATTTCTCTGGAGTTTTTGCTGTATTTTGTTTTTAGCATGTATGTTTAATGAATTTTTACATTTTTTTATTTAGAGTGCATTAGAGTGCAAATGTGCATGTGTCATGGTGCTTATGTGGGCTAAGAAACGCTGTTTCTTGATTTTAAAATGGCTTTGCAATGCCAGCCCCTCCCCTCACGTTTTGTTATTTGATTGACAGACGAGGCACAAAGTGCTGTTTCACGATCCTCACGCATACACTATAGTACTAAAAACACTTTTCTTACAAAGGGAATGATCTATTTCTGAAGCCTTACTCGTTAATGTAAAACCTGTGTTTCATGCTTCTAGTCAGCCCTGGCTCTCCAAATACAAGAGTTTGAGCATGCTACCATACCAGAACTTTAAGGCAAAAACTCAACTATGGGTGTCACAACAATCTAGGCTCAGTCACCCACAATATGCTAATAAACCAAGAGTGCTGAAATGCAGGAAAAACACACAATTGGCATGGCCACGCTAGGATTGCCAAGTAGAGTGTGACCTCATATACCCTTGTGGGGATAACAAGATTTTAATCAAGAGGTTTGGAGTTTTGATGTGGGATTCCCCTCTGTATGCTATAAATATGTTTTATTACTATTGGTTAATAAAGAAAATGCTTTGGCAGAATATAGTTAAGCGGGAAAACTAAACAGAATGTAGGAGCAAAGAAGGTGAAGTCAGGGAGACGCCATGTAGCTGTGGAAAGATGCCAAAACCTTACCAGCAAGATACAGCCTCGTGCAATACACAAATTAATAGAAATAGGCTAATTTAAGATGTAAGAGCTGACTAGGAATACGCCTGAGCCATTGGCCAGTGTTGTAATTAATATAGTTTTGTGTCATTATTTAGGTCTGGGCAGCAAACAGTGTTGTAATTAATATAATTTTTGTGTGATTATTTGGGTCTGGGCAGCCAGGAAACGTAAGAGCAGTCTCCGTTACAGAGCTTAACTAACAGAGCAGGTGGCATTCTGGGCCAGTGGGTCATTTTCTCTTATGATTCTAAAAAGGGTTTGGAGAAGACGACAAGGCCATCAATTGAGGGGAGCAACTGTGACTGCTCCCCTAAGGTGCAACTCCACCAGCAGCGTGGTGGCTCTCATCAGAGGTGGTGTGATCTGGGAAACCTGCTGCTGTTGATCAGGGGAGTTTTGGAATCTCGCCAAAAAGGTGTTTACTCATCTTGAAATCCAAGATAACTTTAGAAGAGTGACCAAGGAGGAAAACAGAGATAAAAAAAGAGTGTGGGTTGGGGTGTGGTGAGCATGATGGCAAACACCTTTAACCCCAGCACTCAGAAAGTAAAGGCACGTGGATCTCTGTGAGTTTAAGGCCAGCCAGGGAATGTAGTTTCTCAGTACCTACCACCACCACCACCACCCATACACACACAGTGCTAGACATGCTGCAGGATTCGGACTGTTCAAGGCACCTCTCTGAATGTGGTTTCTGCAGGATTCGGACTGTTCAAGGCATCTCTCTGAATGTGGTTTCTGCTGTAGCATGGGTGGTGCACGTGGACAGACTCACACCCATTCACCAGAGGCAGACTACTAGAAACCAGGAGTACTGATGAAGGCAGGGGTGGCTCATCTGCAGCGACACTCGCCCTCGAGGGGTGACAAGACTGGATTAAAGGACCTGCACAGAACTGCCATGAGAAGCTTGGCTCCACACGAGGATGCCTTGTTTGTGGGAGGTGTGGGCTGGATATGGGTTACCATTACTGTAAGGAACACAACCAAAAGCAGTTTGGAAAGGGTTTTATTTTAGCTTACAGCTCCACATCACAGCCCTTCACTGAGGGAGATTAGGGAAGAACTGGAAACAGGAGATGCAGAGGCTATCAGAGAATGCTGCTTACTGCCCTGATTCCCGTGGTTTGCTCAGCCTGCTCTCTTACATAATCCAGAATTCCAGCCTAGGGGTGGAAACGCCCACAGTTAACTGAAACCTTCCCAGAGCAATCAACTTTGAAAATGCACCCATTTTGCCCACAGGCCAATCTGATTGGGAGCACTTTCTCAAGCCACTTGATGTTTTCAGTCTCAGATGTTGAGGTCTAACTACAAGACCCCCTAACCCCCACCAGAGTAGCCGCAGTGTGCCTGCTAGTCTAGCTACATTTAGTGCATTAAAAATGAATTAGGTTGCCTTTTCGGGGTTTTGTCCACATCTCTCTAAAAGATTCTTCTTAGCATGTGTATGTACAATGTTCATGTGTCTAGATACACTTGTGGGTGTACAGATTACATGCATGAAACCCCAAGGTTGATGTTGAGTCTTTATCAGTTGCTTTTCCCCTATTTTTTTTCCTATTTTATCTGCATGTATGTCTGTGTACCACATGCACGTAGTGCCCATGGGAGCCAGAAGAAGGCATCAATCAGGTTCCTGGAACTGGAGTTGGAGACAGTTGTGAGCTCTATGTTCTGGGAATCAAACCTGGGTCTTCTGGAAGCGTATCCAGTGCTGGCAACCACTGAACTATTTCTGAGAGAGAGGGTGCTATTAGCAAGATTTGAATGAGATCGCGAGGAAATAAAAGTTCAGTAAATAGTGATTGGTTTTAGAAATGTTTTATTTGTTCCCAGTACATCTTTAAAAAATCACACATGGGCATTTTTGTCCTGAAACAACACAGTCTATGAAAAACCAATAAAAGGAAATTCTGAACACACACCAAAGCGTGGGATATGGATTACGCACTGGGCCCTTGTGGAGACAAATGGCACGGCTCCGTGTGAACTTGACAAGCTCTAGAGAACCTCTCGGAAAGGTNGTCACATCCACTTTAGACTCCAGTGTGAAGGGAAGAACTGTTGCCTATGCGTTAGTTACAGTGGTATAATGGCTTACACATACATTTTACCCACATGTAATTCCCAAAAGATGACCACAGTACTGGCAGAGACATGTACTGCCATGGAGGAAGACTCAGGATAAGATATTATTCAAGTTAAGTTGTATCAGAGCAAATTATTTCACAGACTTAGCAAAAAAAAAAAAAAAAAAAGAACAAAGCTGTATAGAACACACCTACTTCTCACAGGATTTACTACTGCCCAGGAACAAAATACTCATTATTCCCAAGGCATCTCTCACACACACACACACGCACACGCACACAAAGACAGACACGGAGCATAAGGTCTAGTACCCTGCTTCCTTAGGGAGCTGTGTAAACAAAGTCAAAAGCATACAGTGGGTGTCTCAAGACTTGCCAAGCCCTATCTTAGGGTTACTAGGGTGGGACAGCAGGAATAAAGAGCAGACACAAATCCATCCCACCGAATGACTGGATGTCTGAGTCCAGGTTAAGCATATAGCTGATTAAATATATAGATAACCCAACCAACACAGAACAGTGTTTCTACATGCAATCACCAAATTCTGATGTGTTCTTGGAGAGAAGAACCCTGAATTGCTAAACCCTCTCTGTCTTTACAGCATACCCTCTCTCGTTTTAAATGTTTCATGGAAGAAAAGAGAAAAATCCCAAGAAGGCACTGTGAGCTTTAAAAGGACAGTGTTTAATAAAAGCCCATTTAGATAAACTACACTGATCCAGGCATTGCAGCCCTCTGCGAACAGTCCAGGGTAATGGTATTTCTCAGGGCGAGTGTATGCTGCTGGGAACACTAACAATGTCATCCACATGGCATGTGCAGCTGAGCAATCTCTGCTCTCAGGAAGTAAGCCCCTAGTATCTAGAAAGAAAAAAAAATCACCGGACAATGTATTACTTATTTCTTCTTTAAAAATAAAACAATATCCTTTGGGAACAACAACAACAACAAAAAGTCTTTTCATACTCACAGAACTAGGTGTAATTCTGTGAGTGTTCTTTGGCTCAAGAGTAGTATACATCAGTGATCTTTACTCCCTCTATTAAGGAATTGATTGTACTTATTTAGAGAACGTGAGGATGTTCACTGTGGCCTTCCAGGTTTGAAAGGGAATGCTCTGAACACCACCTAAAGGTTTAATATTGGTTAAAAAAACCTGGCGACTGATGTAACTGAATTATGATATATTCAGCCATAAGGCCAAAGGGATTCAGTCATAGGCTGTCTAGATTATGCTACATTAGCAAACTTACAAAAATTATTTTTTATTTTCAAATCTATGGAAATATGAAGTGAAAAAAGTTGAAAACATATGCAAACAGAATAAAAACAGCTTCACACCTCCTTTTGATTAAAAAAATCATAAGCCATGTCCATTTTATTAATAATGTTTCTATAATCTCTTGACATTATACAAGCAGTTTTTACAGTTAAGTTTCACACTGAAGACGAACACTATTTGGCTTAAGGAACAGAAAGCTGGGTTACATCCTTCACGTCAGACACATACTTCAACAATTGAAGAAAACCTTTTATACTTTCTGGATTTTCCTCTCATTGTATATTTTTTTTCAGTAAAGAGAAAGAATTAAATGAATTTGTAGGCAGATGGCTCCTATTGGAACATAAAGACCTGAGCCAAGCCAAGCCCCCACAACGGACAAAGCACAGGCAGAAGCTCAGAGTCTCCAGTCCTAATCTGCACCCACTGTGCCCCTCCTGTGCTCCCCGCCACAAGCAGAGCCCTGGGTAAAATCGGGAGAAACCCCTCAAGATTACTACCGCGCTCCTCAGACTGGACACACCTCCCACAGGCAGAGCTGTGCTCGAGCACTGCCACGCAGTGTGAAGTGGTCCCTCTCCATCACGTGTTCTGACAGTGACAGCAAACCCAGCTCCATGTGGTGCCATACACTTCATGTTAGGACTTGGCAGCTTCTCTGATCGCTTACAGTTAGAAGCTGTATGAGAGAACACGACACAGGAAAATCTCTGGGATTAACATGCAGAAAGGCTTTCTCAAATATGCAAATTAGCATTCCGTTACAATATTCCGGGGGGGGAGGGGGAGAGTTCTTGCATGTGTTTATATCTGATACACACCGATGGAAGCTTGTCTTTTATTGAGCTTTTGTTTTCCAAATTAAACTAACAACACAAATATGAATACTAGAAGGCTTCCAGATTCATAAATAATCTTAGATCAATATTCCTATAATATGTAAGCATTTCAAGTACCAACGTCCCATTCCTGAAAAGAGTAGAGTTTAATCCTGTATTCTCTGATGAAATGCTGGACACAGGAAGCATATGGCCTCCACAACCCAGCTAAGAGTCTCAAAGGACGTAACATGAGACTCAGTTCACTTATGCGCCACTGTATGTCACACCACACATTAAGGCAACAGTTTCTCCAAGGTCCGCAAAGCCTGTCCATTTGAGTCTTTAGTATTAGATCTCATTAGCAGCAAGTTCCCATTCCCACTAAAATCCCAACCGACATGTGATGTCATCAGATTTAAGCAAACTATTACACATATGGCTGACTTAAAGAAGGGTGAGTCAGTGCTAGGTTCTTCTGAGTATCAAACAGGCTGCAGCTTTTAAATTAACTAACCCATGCATTAAGATGCTTCAGAAAATAGCATTCTCCTGGGTTAGGCTCATGGAACCACGTGCAGACACTTCTGAAGGAGGCAAGGCTTAAGTGCTCTGTGCACATTCGCAAACCCGTGCTCCTCTGAAGACAGGTCTACACTGAGGCGCCTCCCAGAAGTGGGTGGGAAGGTTTCCTGACATACAGACAGTGAAACTGTACTAATGAGAGTTCTCATGTTTCAAAATGACCCCGCTTGAGATTATTTCAGATACAAAATGTCATGACCGCTATAGAATCAAGATTGGTGAGGTCTGCATCCAGAGATAAAAAGAAACAAAGACATAAACTGCTAACCTCCACAGAGCTCAGGTTGGATGGCAAACCCAACAACTTCAGGAGCTAGTTACCTTTACAGCACAGATTGCCGAGGTTGTGGAAATCTGAACTCCCTGGGGGAAAGGTTTTAACAGTCACATGCAAGGAACTGAATCTGCTAATAAAACTGTTTATTAAAAATAATTCCTTGGAAACATGTATACACTTCCAGTGAGAGGTTGGAATCTTACTAAATGTTACATTTCAATTCACCAATTAGAGAATCACCTTCAAGAAGAGATGCATTTTATAAAGAATCTTACAATTCGAGAGGCAATTCCTTGAGTGTCCAACTATTTCAAACCATCAAAATCTTTAACCAAAGACATGGAAACTTTATAATCGAAAATAAATCATCAATAGAGAGGCAGCTTCCAAAAAATAAATATTGAGTTTTGTTGTTAAACTAATACTTAATATTGATTTTTTTCCCTACAGATTTAAATTTGTTAGTTTGAGGCCAATTTTAATAGTTAAAAATTATTTATCATTTTGAAGTCTTAAAAATATCGTTTTGTCAATTTTAAATTTTCACTGCTCTGTTTAAGGCTACTTAGATATAAAAGGTATCAAACTGCCCCAACATATTTGGAGCTGTTGCTACATAGACAGACAGTGTGTCCTTCTAAAGGATCGTCTGCACTCTGACTTACATTATCTGATTAAATATTTTAAAAAATTATCAAAAGTTAGGTATTGCATTAAGAAAAGAACTCATCTCACAATGTGAATCAGGAACCTCAACAGTGATTTAAAGCAACTGTTCCACTTATTTCAAATTCCAGTTTTGAATGTAAAAATGTCTGCTAAATATGATTAATATTCTCCTTTTATTTAAGAAATAGAATATTTCAAACTTGTGATTATGGCATACATTTTAAAACTTAGTTAAACCAGTAATTCAAAAAGGCATTAAACCATTATTAAGAACTGAACAGAAACTACTTTTCCATAAACATTTATCAGGCTATTTGTGGCTAATTAGAAAAAAGATTGTTGTCTGTGAATTTTATAGAGGTTTTCAAATCCAAGAGTCAACTAGCGACTGTTTCTTTAGCCAAGTAATTCTTTTAAACTGGAGACAGCAGGTTGAGGAGCCTTCCTTTTGTTCACACTGCAGCTGCCTGTGCAGCTTGGCAACAAGCCTGACAGAGACACAGGAGGACTGGACGGTGGACAACGGCCTTCACCATAGTAAGGCAGCTGTTCTTACAAAGCTTATTATGGATGACGCAGGAGAGAACAACAGGTTATCCTCAGTGACACACCCCGCTAGAGACAGACACAGAGGACAAAAATGCGTCTGCTCACAGAGTAATCTGTATGTTGGCAATTTAAGTGTGCAACTGTGTATTCACTTCAAGCAAAGCTTAGGCTGAGCACCGTATACAGATGAAGGGTGCTAGTGACAGACTGCTGGCTCTGTCCCGAGTGTCCTCCCGTGACAACTTCCTCCCAGGAAAGGACGCTTTTAACACACACACACAAATCTCTCTCCCCAGCAGAATCTTTGTTAGATGTCTGCTTTAGAGAAATGTTGTTTAAGAAAGGACACACTAGAGGCTAGACAAGACGCAGATGACACAAGCTCCCTCAGCTCACCTAGAGGAGCACGTGAAACCGCTGGCCGTGCCCTCAGATATCGGGCAGCCTTGTGCTGCCTAAAGTCTGAGATGACAACCAGTTAGTTGGCTCTAAACTGGAATACCTACAGTGAGAGAGACCTAGGAACGCCATCTGTCAATCTAGAGCTGTAGAAACAAACACAGAACGAAAACTGACTTATTTGAAACCAACAAACATAGCTGAAATACAGTCCATGATATATTTGATTACTGGTATAACCATAACTGATGACTTTAAAAAGATAACATTTTTTCATAATGATATCCATGGAGTTACAAAAGGTTTCTGTTTCCAAAGATGTTACTGGGGTCCACATATTCCTTGACAGACTTTAGCATCCCAAAGCCGACATCAGAGATGCTTTCCTTTAGCCACTGCTTTCGTAACTTGCCCACTGGAAAACAAAATCAAAAAGGCTTCAGTACACACCTTGAATGCTGGAAACCAATCAATCTTGTGACCATGAGTGAGCAAACACTGTGTGATAAATGCTTTTATTCAAAAATGAGAAATGTTTTGCTTTACTTGATTTATTGAGCCCACTAGACTATCAAGCTCATTAAGCCCAATGCATTCCCAGGGGAAGTCTGTGCCCCACACTGTCTCCTTTCTCTGTCAACTATGAAATGGAGATTGAAAGAAGCATGGACTGAGATTACTTTACAAATAACAAGATGAAAAAGATCATGCTTATCAAAAGCCTACTCCCAACAAGTCATAATTTTGTAGAAAAATGAAGCTTGCAGAAGAGAAATATCATAGAAAACAAATCTGTTGGGCAGACCTGACAAAAATGACAGACTAGCTCTTTAAAATATTTTCAGGTGTATAGTTAAGAGAGATGAGAAAATCTGACTCAATGGTTCTGCGGGGAAAGATCCAACTATGAATCTCTCCAATCAAAAATTCTTTTCCAAGTGCTTTAAATAAACCCATGTACCCCAAATAACAGTTATATTCTTGTCATTGTTCTGCCAGACCCAAACGTGTTTTGGTTGTTTTTGTTTTTGGCATACACAAAAGCAGGTGCTTGATTTAAATTTAATTTCCTTTATGAACTGTTCATTTTATTTTTTTTCCTTATTTTAGTCTTACAAATTTGAGGCAATAAAATATCACAATAATTAGCAGAGTTAATTATTTTTAAAGGCACTAAATAAAAACATTTTCTATCTAAAATTTTTGTGAGGGACAGATAAAAGAACCCTGACATTCAAACTTGCTTTGGCACTGAGAGCAAAGCAGTGTATTCAAACATGACAAAACAGGGATTCTAGTTTACACTACGGCTATTGCATGAAGCTCTTCTCAAACATATGCATTATCATAATAACTGAGTTCAAATGGTCACTTTGCACAAATGTTCATTAATGATCCAGAGTCATCAACAGAGATTTAACTAGCCAACAGAGATGGGAAGCCTTTCATAAAAATATCTGGCCTGTCACTCTAAAGTGCACTCCCATTTATCAGGGTGCAGCAATACATCACAACACATGCCATCTGGAACCCTAAATACCACTTCCGCTTAGCTCAAAGCAGCTTTCAGGTCCAGTTTTCTAGGAAACCATCAAATCACCATCCAAATAACAAATGGCAGATGCTTCAGAAAGCAAGGTGCTTGTGGCTGGCGTAGGAAACAACAAAGCACTGAGGTGTTACAATACAAGAAGCCAAGTCTAGTGGGGGGAACCTAAAGTTCAAAGCGGAAGTTTCTGTTTGGAGAGCTCTCTCTGAAAGCAGAGACTTCTGGAGCAGCCTCCACCTGAAGACCTAGCAGGACCATCATCACCTCGGCACTGTGCTGCGGCTGAGCTTTCTCATCTGCAAACAGATCCACGCATTCAATTATAACATCCTAAACAAGTTACAAGTCCACGCTTCCAGGTTTGCTCTGTGAAGCTGACAGACAAGATGGACAAGCAAGCAGCAGCGAGTCTGAGTTGTGGAAGGCGCTACTCATGCTGTGGCAGCTCGGGGACAGGGATGAAGAGCATCAGCGCCAGTCTCCACGGTTATCTGTAATATAGCTTCACTGAATGTGTCCTGTGGTTATGGATGTAATTGTCCTGAAAAGACGGCAAACAACTGCTCCAACAAGATGGAGCACATTAGCAGCTCGGCAGGACGCCCAACAGCTAGCTTGTCTGCCTGGTTTCACACCTCTAGTAATAATGCAATTCCACAAGGAACTGAACCATTGTCTGAGAAGCCACCCAACAGCCATTGCATACTTAATGAAGTCACTCACCAAGCACTGGAAAACAGAAGGTGCTTGGAGTGCATCATTAGTTCTGTCAGAAGGATAATTTACACATCTATCTTGTCAAATTTTCTATGGTTTATACTTTTACAATAATCAATCTAACATACATTTGATTAGTGAACTAGCAAGCAGCGGGGGAGAAAGCATAGCAGTGGCCCCTCATAAACATGTTTGATGAAAGAATTTAACCCATTGGTGGTGTTGGTCTGTGAGCTCCTGCTGTCCCTGAAAACAGAAACGGCAAGGCAAGGGGCTGAAAATCATGGCTTACCCAAGTAAAGGGACTAGAAACCTTTGGTTTTGCTGAGCACATGAAGTGGATGGTACTGTAGAATAAGTGTGCAAAGAGGAAGCATAGTTTAGAAAGAGGCATCCGGAGAGACTTACTAATCAGACAAGGACTGGAAGCAGCTCTGGGATTCTGGGGAACTCTGTAGGAACATCTGCCTGCGATGCATCAAGAAATTAAAGCAGCACAGACCTACGCCCAGAGAAGGAAGTGGTTTCAGAGTACAAGACTTTCTTTGCAGAGCCGGACCACAATGTCCTTCAGAAAATTCTTTTTTTAAAAAAGATTTATTTATTTATTTATTATGTATACAACATTCTGTCTCCATGTATGTCCACACGCTAGAAGAAGGCGCCACATCTCATTACAGATGGTTGTGAGCCACCATGTGGTTGCTGGGAATTGAACTCAGGACCTCTGGAAGAGCAGCTCTTAACCACTGAGCCATCTCTCCAGCCCCCAGAAAAATTTTAAATTGCTATATTCATCATTTAGAGGCCACACTCGTCTGTACACATGTGTCACATGTGATAGACACTTACATAGTAGCACCTTAAATATTACACAGCTTATTATCTGAAAAGAAAGTTCTCTTTATGTAGCATGTCATATCATATCAAAAGAATGAATGAATAGCAACAAATATTTGCTACAATATGTGTTAACACGACAACTTCTACATATCTACTCTGTAACAGCCATTACAAAGAAGCATACATGATAAAACTTAGGCTTTCTACACCAGTTATCCCATGTGTGCTGTTAATGGCTATTAGAGAAACTAATGGCTATCATTTTCTGCTTAAACTGAAAATGAATTTCACATTTTAAGTCTGATCTCCAATTGTGTCTCTGTGTTTATTTACTGAATACACAGGATTTTTTTAATGTGTTCGTCTATGATTGAGAAAATGAGAGGTTCCAGGATGGTTTTTAAAATCACTTACTTAACATAACTCTGGAGAGATTTGGCAATACTGTGTTTTGTAGTATAATATGTAGCATTCAAAAATGGAGAGGCCGGAGAGATGGCTCAATGGTTAAAGGGCTTGTTCTACAAAGCAAAAGGATCTGAGTTGAGATCTTCAGTACCCATGTAAATGCTAGGTGGGGACAATTGTCTGTAAACATAGTGTTGGGTGTGGGCAAAAAGGCAGGTCCCTGGGGCTTGCTGGTTTGCTGGCCTAGCACAGAGGGTAAACCCTAGGTTCAGTCAGAGTTCTTATCTCAAAAACTAAGGTGCAGAGTGAATAAGAATGATGCTCAAGGTAAACCTCTTTGGTCTCCACGTGCACATACTGGCATGTGTACACCTACACAGGGACGTATGTGCACATGCACACACACGAGTTGCACCCCCCCACACACACACACGGTAAGGGTGAAGTTAGTGGTGTCATGTAAAAAAAAATGCGGACATGATGGCTAACCTGACCCACAAACATTATCTGGAACTACTCTACATGGTTTAAGAGACTGAAGATTTAGCAGAAATCACTAAATAATTCTATCTTAAAGAGCTAAATCTGGGCCAGCTGAACACAGAGGTCTCTTTATTAAATATATTTAATTTGTTAGTCACAGTTTGACTATAAGGGCAGAAAGAGTTTTATACATTTATAAGAAAGAACAAAATGGGAGGACAGGCACAGTGGTAAGTGCTTGCCTAGCATGCTACAAGAGTCTAGTACTTGGCAGAAGGGAGGAGGAGACAGAGAATGAAGTTGACCAGAAAAAGGAGAAAAGAACAAACTATAATAGACCGTTTATCCAGGAGCTTACTAAAGCTTTAGAACAAAGCAGAATTAGCCATGCCTAAAGTAACAGCCATTATTATACCAGCCACGTCTTGAGAACTAAGGTTGTAGGACATGTCCAGTATGCACAGGCATGACCTTAATCTCCACCATCACAAAATGAGCAACAACAGACAAAACACCACATCTAACACAAGTATCCATTCGGCCTTAATCTGTAAATCAGATTTTTAAAAAGAAAATCAACTAATTTTTATAGGAATGCTTTGAGGAGTGACTTTTAAAGCCTCCCTCCAGCAGAGTATGGTACATGTGCTTCTGTGTGAATGTAGAGGCCAAAAGAGGATGCCGGGTATCTTCCTCCATTCCTCTGAGGCAGGGTTTCTCACTGAACCTGGTGCTCACATTCCCTCAGCTACAGTGGCAGCTAGGAGGCGCAGGTGAGATTCCTGACTCTGCTGCACTCAGAACTGAGGTTACAGGACTGTACCAGATGCCCAGTTTGTTATGAGGGTGCTGGGATCTGAACTCTGGTCCTCATGATATGCAGAAAGATTCCTGACCACTGAGTCATCTCTCTCCAGTCCCCATCAGCTTCTTACTTCCCATTAACTAACTTTATGAAACTACTGTTAGTGCTAATGCTGGATGGACAGCCAACAGCTCGTCAGGTGACTCTGGACACTCTGGGAACTGTCAGGTACTAAAGAGAACAGAGAAAACAATGGACAGTCTGACTCTGAGTTAGTCAGTAGAGCTAACAATGCTTATTAAAGGGAGACTCAACTTTGAAGGGCTCTGACTTGCATATATATCTGCTTGTGCCATAAAGCACATTGTGGTTGGCTGGTTCTGCGGAAACTATATGCTTCATAAATGCCAGTCAACAGACCTCTACCATTAAAAGTGACAACATCTAGCCTTTAAGAGAACCTGGGATAGGACTATGACTCTTTATGACTCCATAAAAGAAACCAAATGCTCAAAGGCCACTAAACTATATATCTGTGCCATCTGCTAATGAAACTTCTGACATTAAGAAAAACTCATGAATACTACAGACTTTACAAAAGCAATTAAAA